AAGACAGATCACGAGGATAGATGTAGATATAGATGAGTGTGGATGAAAAGAAAATACATACCTGCAACCACCGATATTCACATATATAATAATAGCATGAAAAAAACCTATAAAGGAATGTTTCTCTGCTTGTTTACCTTTCGCTATCGCTTCTATATTCATTTTTTTCTTACATTTGTGCGTGTGTATCTATCCTCCCTATTGCATCATGCTTCAATTCTTTTCGTTTCTCTTTTCTGTGTTTATATTTTGAAAGAAAACTAAGCATACGACAGCAAAAAAATGCATGAATTGTTCATTGTTCGTTGAGATATTTAAAGATAACACTGAAATCTTTTTTATTCAGTCCATTTGAGCAAAGCTGATTATAGAGTTCAGTAGCTTTTTCCGTTAATGGAGTTGAAGCTTTAACTTGTCTTGCAGCATCTACAAAACAAATCCTGAGATTTAGTAGTAAGAAGAAAAAGAGAGAAAATTATTTACCAAGAGCAAGTAACAGGTCTTTAGTCATCAGTTCACTGGTAAAACCACCATTGTAGTCGTTACTAGATGGTACGTTAGCAACAACGCCAGGACATGGATTATATGTTTGACTTGACCAACATTGACCACTTGAAGAATTAATTAGTTTGGCTAATACATCTTTATTAAGACCAAGTCTTATCGAAAAAATAAGATTAGATTATTTAGAATTAAAAAGATTAAAAAAAAAAATGCTTACTTGATACCGAGATTCATCGCTTCTGAAGTGCCAATCATACTTAAATAATAAAATAGTATAAATTTATAATTCTTTTACGTCTCTTACCTAATAGCTACAAGAAGATTATTGCAAATTTTAGCCGCTACACCACTACCATTTGGACCAACATGGAAAATAGTTTTGCCCATATTACCAAGAATAGGTTCGACAGCTTTAAGATCATTTGGTTGACCGCCAACCATAAATATTAATGTACCTTTTTGAGCACCAATAGTAGCTATAGAATTGGAAGATTAATCAAAACATTGCAGCAATATATATATTACTAACCGCCTGCTACAGGAGCATCGACAAAATTTAATTGTTTACTTCGAGCTAGTTCCGCCATTTCTTTAGATGTTCGTATATCAATTGTGCTGCAATCAATAATAAATGTACCTTTTTTAGCCGAACTAATCAATTAATTAAAAGTAAAATCAAAACTTCGGAAAAAACTAATTCTATCTATCATACGGAAAAATACTTGATTGACACACATCACGTACAATTTTACCATTAGGTAACATTAAAACAACAAATTCTGAATTTACTACTGCCTCTTGTGGTACAGAGGCTATTTTAACTTGTTCTAAAGCAATGAAATAGATCTATCTTTCATACAAAAAAAAAGAATTCTTTACTTTGTTCTTTAAAATGATCAAATGCTTGCGGATTAATGTCAAAAACTGTTACCTGATGATTAGCTGCAATTAGATTTCTTGCCATATGTTTACCCATATTACCAATACCAAAAAAACCAATAGATGCCTAAACAAAACGTGTCAATTATATATTTTTTTTCATGTATAGATCTTGAAACATACATATCGAGTTAATGATAGATGTACCATGATGACTAAAAGATAAGAATCTCGAAAAAGAAAATAAAAAGAATTAGAAAAAAAGACATTGGTTAATCATATCCCATAAGGCTCCTATTTCATTCATCAACATAACACAGATAATACGAGAAAAAAAAACTTTTCTGCTTTTTTTTTAATGTTTTTAGCTTTCGCTTTTGTCTTTTTTAGTTTAAAAGCTTGTTCTTTTTCATATTCTGCTTTAAGTGTTTCAATATGCTGCATAAATTTTTCAGTACATAATCGACATTCTTTTTCATTTAAACATTTATCAGTTTGATTTTGTAAATCAGCATCAAAAGAATTTTTTATAATCCAAATACCAAGTAAAATAGAAACCAAAAAATGAATAATTATATATAAAAATAACAATTTTACTTATAATTTCGTTAAGTCGCAATAATAAAGTAGCAAATTTGTAATATGATTATTGAATAAATCGAGCGGTTTTAATGATTTTAGCTGACCAAAATTTTCAGGTAACTTTGTGAGATGATTTTTTGATAAATCAAGTGTATGAATACCTTCAAGTTCAATCAAGTCATCCTAAAAATCGTTAAAGTAAAGTCAATATATATTTTATTTGAGAAGAACAAGAATACATCCGGATAAAGATTCAATTTGATTATTTGATAAATCGATTGATTTAACGTTACGTAAACTCAACTGAAAATATAACCAAACATATGAAGTATGAGAAGAATCAAACGAAAATAAACGTACAATATCATTGATATTCGGAACTGCTTTTGAATTAATAATCGATAAATGAAGTTTGACAGCTTCAGATAGATAATCCTTGAGTAAGATACGTTTTATTGGTATATAGAGCACTCTATCAATATGCGGTACACGTTGATTATAAAGTCAAAGTTTATTTTTTTATTAAATATTATTATATGAAGATATGTTTAACATAAATTCACATTTTTGTCCAATATTTAAAACAAAATAGTTAAATAAATAAAAAAGTAGCGTCATCTGCAGGACCTGCTGCAAACGAAATCAGGTTCTATGCGCAACAACATCGACTAAATAGTATCATGATTGTGTTTCCATTTTGTAGAAAAAACAAACATTCTCACAGAACAGTTTTGGTTTGGTTGCTAACAGACGATTTGGCATGTGGATGTGAGATGGCGTGCCTCTCTCTTGAATGGATACTAATACCCACATCCACATCTTCCCATACCCACCCCCTGAGACGCCTAATTGGTGAAGTTGATCTCGAACACATAGTCAGTATATTCAATTGATTCGCTTCCTAAGAAAAGACTTATGCATCATATTTAAGGTTGAAAATAAGACAAGGAGTGATAGGTTACAAGAACAAAGCGGTAGACACTATCTCAAATTGACTAGGAGAAAACAAAAAAATCAAAATATTTGACTACTATGAGTAGCAGTTTCCATTTGACAGTCCTTATTATATATTTTGTATTTCATCAAAATTAGAGAATATCAAAGATCGTTCGAATCCAGAAATCTTCACTGCATTGATTCTTATTCATTTTTCTTTAGAATTCAATTGCGAATGCCTGTTCAAGACCGTCTCGATCAGTCGTTGTCAATAGAAAGCAAACATTAATAGGCACTTTTATTGAGGGTTCTCTCCGGTTTCCAAAGTTTCTGAAGAATGGCTCGGCAAAAGTTCCTGCAATTTTAAGGGTAGATAGATCTCGACCAATGGAACAAAAGTTGTTATAGATATGAAATTCCCGAGCGGTTCCTTCCCATAGATTTTTATGGTCTAAGAGCAAAAAGAATGATTGGAAGTCTTCCCCTCCTGCAAAATATCATAGTCCACTTTTTAGAGGCGAAATTTCCTTCTGTGGCAACTAGGGTCAAATTGGGGTGAGTGTTGTTTTCTTTGAAAAATATCGTTTCTGAGACTCAGAAGAACTGAAATACTGAAGCCATGACCAAAAAAACGTTTTTTTTTTCTTATGGTGCTAATTTTGTGAAATTTATCAAAACTTCCAAGAAACAAGATTTTAAGAATAAAAGAACACGCAGCCCAATTTGATCGAAATATCTATTTAAAAAAGTTTAAATCCTATAGATCGTATAGTGTAGAAGAAAATGGAAGAAAACTTTAGTTTTTGCTCAGAAACCTCTGGTTTTGAGAAAAAACAAAGAAAACTGAGTTTTTTTTTAAATTTTTTTCAGCGTATTTGCTAGTTTTTCTCGGATAGTTTTTATATATAAAATGTAGGTTTTCAGTTTTTAATATGTGCTCATTCGATAGACGACATTTAAATCTATATATTAACAGAAAAAAGTGAGAAACGGAAGAAACTGAAAAGTTTGAGTCGCGAAAAAAGAGGAAGATTCTCTTAGATCAATATCACAGCTGAAATACTGTCAGGGTGTGGGTGTGTGTGGGTGTGACGGCGTGGGTCTCCTTCAAGGATTGATCTTCACAGTCACACCACACATCCACCGACACCTTCATCCCACACCTATACCTATCCACATCCAGACCCACACCCTCATATTTTAGCGCGAGTACTGCTAATGAGTAATAAAATCCAGGTGTACTCATGAGTATCCGTGACACTTTCTAACATGAATATTATCTTGATAAGTATCTTCACTAGTGATAAGCTGTTGTTTTTATTCTTGAAGAATAGATTTTCGTCGAATTCAAAATAGATTGCGCGTTTGATCTTTCGTTTAGTTTTTTATTCAAATCTCATTCTCCACCAGTGTACCCTACTCTGTGAGAAAATGACTGATGTAAGAAATCAATTGATTAAGAGTATATGAAAGGATTTATTCGTTTTCTAAACCCTTCATTATATCCTTGTAAAGGTTGCATTATTTTTCTAAACCCTTATAAAAATCTATTATACGCTGTACTTTAATAAATCATTTAAGGGTTTATTGTTTTAAGTTTTGTTTTAATAATGTACACCCACACACAGGTGAACTCATGAAACTCTCTGATCTGACTCCATATCTCGAGAACCGAGTCGGCGTTCACATTACGTTTGAGCAACTCGCTTCTATAAACCACGATTCGAGGTGATGAACTGATCTCATTAACGTAATCAGTAAATCAGAGCAGATGATTGGAGATTTATTTCAGTGATATAGAAAGTACGTTAGTCAAGATCAAGAGAGAACTCATTATTTTCAATAATCATCATGAACTAAAATGCAGCAACACCATCATAAGTAGCTAAAACAAACACATCATCCTTGTTTTGACCGACGGCCAAATGTACATCTGACAAATATGTATAATCGAGAAACGAAAATTGATCAATTTGAACTGATGGAAACCCACGTTGACAGGATGCATGATTGAATCCTTTTGCTGCCTTCGCCAATTTTTCAATATTCACTCGATAGAATGAAATGGGTTTTTCTTGTGGGACTGACCGTTGCAATATTCAAACACAGTGGTATAAAAGAGAATTATAATCAGAACAGACTAGTTTTTCATCTGACAGACGTTCAACGGTCAAGTGATGTGTATCAAAATCGAATATAAGATGATTATAAAATTGAACTAAACCTTCAACTTCGTTTAGATTTGGATGAGAATTCATTGGACAATCACAAAATCCATCAATGACACGATCTTTCGCTAATAATATTCGAAACAGACTCGTACTCGAATTTTGTTCCGTCTGTTTGACCAAATATTCATAATATCCCAGTACATCATCTCTGGCACATTTCATCCAACGCGGATGAAGACGCCAATCATCATTGAGATTCAAATATTTATCAACAAGTTTTTTGTCTCTATCGTGCAAAGCATGAGTTCTCTGATAGCCTAGGATACTAAGTTTATCAAAGATACCGTCTTCGTCCTCGCCACTTGTTTCAGAATTGGATGAATGATATTGTCTTAGTTTAAAATGAAAACGTGACAAAATATCTTGTCCAATAAACTGAGATTGATGACGATTTGTCATATATATACGATCAACGCTATGGTCTAAATCTACTACTGGCTGGCGTTTTACCTCATCTTTTTGTACCACGCGATATATAGAACCATAGCAGTTTCGATTATAAAATGCATCTGCTAACAATTTTTCCATTTTCACTTCACATGTTTCGTGTGTATTTCTGTCGTATCGAACTGTGTAGGTTCTTGAATCTGGCCTATGTCCCAATAAGAAGAAAGCATATACGGCTGCTACACGGCAACATCCATCGATATGTTGATAGAAAAAGTTCGAGTCAGGAAAGCGAAATAATGTTCGACTACCATATTGAGAATGAACAGTTGGAATAAATTTGCAACGGCATGAATCTGTTTCAAAACGTTTTGTCTCTTGCGCTTCCCACATAATTTTCAATAGTTGAAATTTTGGAAAAGCAAATATTAGATGTTGCACATCTTGTTCATGTAAATGTTTAAAAATGGAAAGTCAAATTTCAATAGAGAGCTTATCAATCAGTTGGTTTCCTTCATCTTGATGATTAACTGTTGCTTTTGATTTGAGTTCAAGTGATCGTGGATAATTATATCGAATCTATAATGAACGTTCGTATAATTCACCGATTTCACTGGTTTTGATGGACTGTCTGGGATTTGCATACATTTTCAATTCGTTTTGTTGAGCTTCACGAAAAAAATTCAAGCAAACAAGGTAATCATCTTGTTCTTCTGGACAAACGGCAAATCCTAGCGGTTTCCCCTTTCGTTGTACGAGTATGTCAGTTCGCAAGATGATACGCTCCATCAAATCGGAATTAGTCACAATCTGTGGCGCTATGGCCGCATGTAAGAGATTATGGGTAAATAGAACAGCGTACCCTTTCTTTGGTTTGACTGTTACACATTCGTAACCTCCTTCCAATCCGCCATAAGCTTCAATTTCTTCTGCAATCGTTAGCCCTTTTGTATCGAATTTTGGTGCCACTTTTGGAAAATAAAATTTCGTTTCACCTTGTTTATAATTATCATTCAAATATATCACTAAACTGAACAATGATCGTTCATCTCCATTAGGGGCATATTGTGCATCTTTATGCGGTGCAAAATGTTCATCTTGACGGTACTTGTTGAATCGCGTAGCCTTATTCACACCACTCAACTCCCAATCTCCTTGCACGTTGAAACCCAACGGCTTTTTATTGGAAACTAATTTTGTTATTCCATTACTCAACCTTAAACGTTGCCAAAGTATTCGAGCGAATCGATCATCCATCACTATTAATCGTGAATTGTTGCGTTTTTGAGAGTCGTACTTGTCTGACACATTTTCAAATGTTTCCTTGCTAATATTGGCCAAAATATCATCACATTCCTGGACGCTTAATAAATTACCCAATTCAATTAAAATCAAATCATCTTGCTGCTTTATTCAATTTAATATTATATGATCGCGTAGTCTTGTTGGTACCGAATAATTGCTTAACAAGGAAACGGTAGCATCCCAATCTGTAGTTCCCAAAAATCGATTTCGGTGCATTTTGACAGCAAAATTTAATCGGTCTTCGTCGTCGCTTTTTGATTTATCGCTTACGGTTGTCTGCCACTTTTAACACGTTCCCTACTGTTTTATGCATAATTTTGGTGTAATTACTCAACATCAACACAATGCGGCTGTAATTGCTCAACACCTATGAAGGGTGTGGGCGTGGGTGTGGGAGTATTCTGTTATTCTCTGCATCCACACTCCACCCACACCTACACATCCACACCCACACCCACACCCACACCACCCACACCCACACCCACACCCACCCCCTAAAAATTCCCTACCTAGCGAAATCTTATAAGTAAATATAGTGAAATTGTACCAATGATTAAATCATCATATCAGGCCAGTGAAACTGTCTTTCAATAGTACACTACTGAAAGACAGTTTATTCTTTTTCTTTTTCAATTTTCTTACTTAAAATAAACGATTTTTCTTTATTACATTTACACATCAATAAATTTACAATAATAAAGTAAACCTTGATTTAAATTTTTTATCTTGAGTTTATGTTTTATATGCATCCTTAAAAATGTTCTATCGGCTCACTGATAATACAGTAATATCACATTATTCAACAAAAGAAGAAAAAAAACATCACATTCTCTATGTATATAGTTAAATCAAATAAAGAAAACAGCATATTCACACCGGATAAAGATTGATAAAAACACATCATTAGTAAAAAAAATATGAATGATTATGTTCGCATACATCTCAAATTCTTTGAGAAAAAAAGATATATACAAAAACCAATAAATAGAAATATTTACATTAGTGACATTTTTTTTCTTTTCTTTACAATCGATCTTATATTGCATGCGAACAGCACACAAACAAATAATGCAAAAAGGAAAAAAAGTGAGTTATATATTCTAAGGAAGATGAAAACTAATGATTGTGGTTACTATATTGTTAATTGAAAAAGCATGTTGAACATGTCAATTGAATTTGAAGAAGGGTGTGGGTGTAGATATTCTTTCCATATACGCCCACACTACCCACATCCCCACACGCACTCTTATGGAAAAAGAGCAGATAGTAGTCTTGATAATTTCAAAATATAAATACCAATATCGTTCTTTCTTACTATCAATGTTTTTCTCTAATTCTCTTTCTCCGATGTGTATCCATTTTTGACCATTATGAAACAAAATAACAAATTAACGCTAAAATTTATGATTCTTATCTCATGACAACAATGTTGAGTTTTTAGAAGATCTTCTATATTAAAGAATGCTATTTAAGTTGTAATTTAAAAAAAGAAAATATTACTTATTTTATTGATTATCATCCTACGATGACATCTTAATGGCATTTATTAATTGAAATATGAAACTAACTGAACAAGACCAACAACGAATCGAATAAGCTTAATTCTGTTGCAACTCATATCATTCGGTTAAAAAAAAACACAATAAAAATACAAATAAAGCAACAAAACAAATAACTAGAAATCGTTCAAAATTGTTTCATGTACATTTGATTTTCATTTGAGAAATAAATGGATGATCTAAAAATAAAGAACTTCTATAAACTTTTTACACAAAAGCATTTTTATTTGATAGCATAAGTTAGATGTAATTACTATTCAGTAGTTTTTCACTCGTTAATTGAGATAAAATCAAAGGTTTCATTTTAATAGTTACATCAACAACCACAATAGTTACATTTGACATCTTCTACCGACGAAAAATGATACAAATTTTAAAAGTGTTTTGGCCATTTGAAAATCGGTATGAAAATGTAAAGAACTGTATTCTGTAGCTGTTGAAGCGATACGCAAAGGTAAGGTTGGAAGATTGTGATCCAAAGTTGGTTATCTCAATAAGATAAAGATTCGCTAAGTTCACACCTATTTTTAGATTTCAAAGACTTATGTTTCCTAAAATATTTAACACTTAGTAAGAGTACTAAAATACTGAACTACACTATATCATATAACAACAGGAAAAAAAAATCTTCATTAGATTTAACAAGAAGAAAAACAAATATAATTAGTCTTATAAATATTTTAGATAAAATTCATTTTAATTACTTTTATATCATATAATTCAAACGTCGTTTTACAGCAGTTCGATAATTGATAATAGTTTTACGAAATTATTCTTTATAAAACTTTGATGGTAATATAAATACAACAAATGTAAGCATAGGTGGAATAAATGAAATAAAATATCCAACAAGAAATAGCCATCCATCATTTGTTGATTTCATACATTTTGATACAAATAAAATGATCAAACGTGGTAATCCAAGAATAACTAAAAGAACAGAAGCAGTTAATAAATGTTTATATTGTTGAATTTGTTGTTTTAAAACGTCTTTATAATTTTGATTAATTCGAAGCGTTGACTATTGACGAGATTTTATTGTTATGAGAATAATAGCTGATATTAGATTAATGATAAATGGAGCCAAAAAGTAAAACGTATGCATAATAGAATTAAATGTTTGTAAAGAAAATGGATAAGTAGCTATACACCATATTCATTTCTCATCTTCATTATTTTCATCAATTAAATATAGATAAAATGAATCATAAATATTTGTAGAAATAATAAAAATTACAAGAACAACTATAACAACTATTTTAGCTATTTGTCTACTTTTTTTTTTCTTTCGAAAATTAGTAGCTTTTATTATTGTAATTGCACGTTCCATTGCCATACATGCATTTAACCATTGATCCATATTAAGACAAATTCGTAAAAGACAATCAAGAGATAAACATTGAATTTGTAAAATTAATCTATTCGAATATAATTGCCATTTGAGCAAGAAGAAGTATCCAAAATTTTAATTCAAATAAGATTGTTGTACGTAAAGTTGTAATTGATGAACCTAATAAATATTAACCACAACCAACTTCACATATTTGTTTATTATTAAATGTAATTGAAGATAAAACTCCATTGATAAATCCTGCAACTAAAAATATTACTGTTAATGCTAAACTAATTTTGACAATATTTAATTGATTTAAAAGACTAATATTTGGTTGAATATGATAACCTAAGATAGCATCAAGTGATAAACCAAATCGATTCGAACTAAATTGACATCGTACTCCGAAAAAAACATGGTCGACAAATACATATTGATCTTTCTGGACAAACTTCAGTATCTTGAAAACATTGACCAACGTTTTCACAAACACTTTGACCTAAACAATCCGATTTCATATTATAATTAAATTCAAAGCAATTTGCTAAACGTTGTTTTCTATGATCATAACATAGACAAATATGAACATCATCATAAAAACATGGCAGATTTGATAGATTTTGTTGACATGATAAATGATAATATTTTATACGACGAGTAAGATGTAATTTAACAAAAATTTCATTAAATAATTCATTTATATGTTGGCAACGATCAGATGATTTTATCTTTTTTATAATGGTTGTTGATTGTTCATAAATTTTTTGAATAACAACTAAATAATAATTTTTATTATAAAGTTCAATAAAAATAAGATGAAATGATCGTGACCAAAGAATTGTAAGTGAATTTTTTACTGGGAAAATTGTTCGAAAAGTAGTCATTCTCATTGGAACACTTCCATTAATAGCTTCTATGAAATGAATAAATATTGACTGAGATAAAACAATATCATTTTCAAATGATAAAATTATTTTATTATCAACTATTTCACATCGATCTCCACTATAACCTTTTGGACAAATGCATGAAAATTTTTTATTCGATGACGACATATATTCATCAACAGGAATACATTGACCACCATGTTGACATGTTAAATTATTATTTATTTGACAAACTGTATCAACAATAAGACATTGATAACCAAATTTATTAATAGGATAAACACATATAGATCGATTGTAAGCCGATACACCAATACATATTGAATCAGATGAGCATGTACAAGTATATGGAATGGTACAATATTGTCCAGACCATCATGGATAACATTGACAGAAAGTATTATATTGTGGGCTATTGTAATATACAATACATTTACTATGAATACATTGAGAATTTGAACAACTTTGAAGTTTTTCATTATGTCGCGGAATAACAGCTATATATGTGCTAGACGTTCAACGGGTAAAAATGAAAATCTTATTGGATATAATAAACTTCCTCGAGAAATTAATGAAATTTTTTCATAAATATCAATATGTATTCGATAATTTTTTGGTTAAATCTTTTGGTCGAGTTAAGTAGAGTAAATAAATATTAAATTTAATTTTACAATCTCTTGATGATAAATAAGTGAATTGTTCATATCAATGAATTATTCTTTCTTCATTATCATCAATAAGTGAAATAATTATTGCAAATAATGTTGACCAAGAATCTGATAATGCTTGAAATTCAACGGTCAAACTCACTCGTTGATTTTCATATTGACATTGATCACCATAGTAACTAGGCGGACAAAGACATGTATTTGTAGTTAAATTATTTTCATCATTTAACCAGACACGTAAATCAAAACCACGATGACATCGATGTTAATATTTTTGTGAAGTTTCAAATATAGATGATTTTGAAAGCATATTTTTTGTTCTATCGGCCATCACGTAGGTGTAATCTTTATCGAGTCCATCTAATGAAAAATATTTTAATAGTCGTCTCAACTTCATTTCTGCTATTTTACACAAAAACTTTTCGCCATCGGAAAGAAGATATGCTTTAGACAAATCGCAAAGATAACCTTTTATAGCAACACTTCGATTTTTAACACAAAATTGTTTATCCTCTTCTTGATTACAACTTTTCTTGTTGTTGCATAGTTCAAAAGTAGGAATACACTTTCCCTTGCCTTTGTATGTGCAATAAAAGTTTTCGCCAAAGTGCATGTTAAATGGTGCCGGACATAATGCTCGCTCGTCAGTGACACCGAGACGATCAATCTTGCCGTCATTAATTTTCTCCATAGATAGACATGTCAATTGATTTGTGTCGGGTAAAACACATAGGTGATGATCTAAAGAACAATTTAATTTTGAAAATGAATAACAGCCAATTTCATCTTCACCATGAGGATGATTCTATATGCCATCACAATGCGTATAAATGTTATTACATGGCTAAATAGTTTGAAATGAAATATTCCTTTTAGTATAAAAACCAAGTATACGTTCATCTTCACACCAATTATTAGAATGAAGTTCATTGTTACACGAGGAAGAATTATTAAGTTAATTTTTACACCAATAAGGACTCTTAACTGGACAGTGACAATAATTATCATTAATAAGCGATGGTATGATATATGTGTTAGATATTTCACATTTGATATGTTTTTTTAAAAGTTCAATTAAACCAACAGCTGTAATATGTTTCAAATTTTTGTCATCTTCATTAGGACAATCTGATAAGGTGTCCATAAGACGATATCTTGAGATACATTTGAATGAATTAACACATTGACACATGTTCGATCTATTAAAAATTGTTGAAGTATAATTAAAAAATAGATGGTATTTGTTGAGATCATTGATAAATGTGTGGAAAACGGTGAAATGTCCATCCATCCATGAAGCTCCAGACGAATAAGAAATTTTGAGCCAATGAAGATAGAAACATTTTCTATTTTTGAATATTAATATTGTAGTATTAATGAAATAGTCATCATAGATAGAACTATTATAACATATATAAGGTGTTTTACAACGTCTATTGGCTAATGTTAATGAATCGTTTTTTCTATGTGCAAGGTAAATGTCACCTAAAACAAGTGGAACATTAGGAAAGAAAAACATATCTGGACATGCCTTCTCAATGATTTCTAGACATTGTGCTTTTTCACATATCTCATTGAAGACTTCTGGGTCAACAAGTGATTTAAACGCTGACCAGCATTGTTCAGATATTGAGGCGTTTTTGACCGAATATAAAGCTTCGATGTGCAGTTTGAAGCTATCTGGGTTGAAATAACTTAACAAGGATAAAAACCTAAGTCCCATTTCTTCACATTTAAATGAAGGTGCACCATGACTGCATTGGCGAATATCGGGGTCAGCGATTCTATATTCATCTGAGGTATCAACACAATCAGGAATTCGCAAATTATCTCGAAAAAACGACTTTGGTATACATTATCCATTAGTACATCGATTTTCGTTAGAATGACATTCGTTTATTTCAAGTTGCCAATAATGTTCTTCATCAAATTTGCCATTGATGCTATCTACTCGTCCATCACAAATCTCTCTCCAATTTATACATAATGAAAAAGGACCACGATTACATTGTAAATGAATATAGCATGTCAAAGTAGTTGGATTATATGGATAGCTATTATAATATTCATTAATAATATCATATAGAGATGATTGATTTGGATAATAATAATTCATTTCATATTGACACATCGGATCGAATCTTGGAAATGTGCATATTATAGAAAACTTGTGTTTCCAAAGATTTATCATTTGATGTTGATAATTGATTTAAATAGAATTGATAACGTTCAACAATATCAATCGGAGTTGACCAAAGATATAATTGTTGACTAATGATATTCATTTTCGATAGTTCATCAAAGGTAAATTTTGGAAAGATATATCAATAGCAGCAGCAATACGCAAACAATTATGTTGTAAAACATAATTACTTTCACTCTCATTTATCCAATCTGTATAATGAAGATTGATTCGAGGTGAAGCACAAAATAAAATTCAAGAAAATCAAACTGAATAGATATTTCATTTAAAATATTATTTCTTTATGACAATTTACAAGGTTCATACAAGATTTATATATATATAAATTTTTCTTTTCATATTTTTATCATTTGTTAAACATCGCTAAAAAGTGTTCACGTCATCAACAATCATCAGCACTCATGAACAAAATAATCCTTTCTTATTGGATAAATAGAGTTTCTACGTATTTACTGATATAACTCTGAATAATTACAATCGATAAAATAAAGGTTAGTAGGTAAACGTACAAAATCATTGAAAGAACTGTGTTGTTATTCTGTTTTTAAATTAAATATTCGACAGAAATATATCTGACAACTAACAAAAAAAAACAGTATTTGTTTCATGATAATAAATTTAAAATCAAGGATACAAAGTAATGTGAGTTGATCAATATTAATTGTCTAATCTATAAACTAAGAAACAGATGTGTATGCTCATGCATTGATAAGTGAAGATTGTCGTCACTGTAACTTTTTCTCTTTCACTGACTTGTCTACAGAAGTCATCGGCTTCATTGTCATCGGCTCTACTGGTAGAGGTGTAAGCCGATGAGTCTATCGGCGGCAGCGGTGCTGAAAAAATTCAAAACTGAATAATTGTTTAGATGATAAGAAATGCCTGCTTATTTCATTATTTGATTACTAATAATTTTAAAAAAACTAAATGAAATAAATATATTTCACACGTTATGTTAATCAAGATGATACATTTAAATAATTTAGATATGAATAATCAATTTCTAATCACTGTGGTTCGAAGACAAGAGATCCAGCAATCCTAAGGATGAAAAAACTTTTTAGATAGATACAAAGATACTAAAATATTGCCATCTTAAGTTTTGAACGATAGAGACTGAAAGACGATCTCTACAAAATATTAAGTTTGAGTTATGTCAGAGATCTTATGTTTATTGTGCATCTTTTATTGTTTAGCGATAGAAAGAAAAAGTGGGAGCAAATATGCTAGTGTGTTGTTTTAGTTTGCTGAGTTTCTATCACTCGATGAGTGTTCAATAGGAGATTTATCATATTCTCTATGAGTCATATAAAACTGTAGGTGCTAATCCCTTTTCGATTGAGAATGAACTATCATATATTTATTCAAATTTTCATTCATACAAGAAAATTTTGCAGTAAATTCGTTGAAAATTCAATGTATTATTTGCTCTTTTATGCAAATGACACGATTGATAACAAATAAATCATTGTTTTAGTATGCTACGTAGCATTCTTAGAAAAAAAAAAACTTTCATTGAAATTATGAAAGCTCGTTATATTGAGTGATAGATTCAGACATAAATAAAACTTACTGGTACTTTTTTGACCATGTAAGCAACCAAAAAGATTGATAAAAAGCTTTATGTCTTCAACATAACCAAATATAAATAAAATTTTTCGATTTTTGCATTCAGATATCGTCGTCGTCGGCTGAAACTTTCATAAATTTTTCTTAGTGATGGCGGCGGCTCAGCCATACATTTAACATCTTTCTCTGCTGAAAATTTACAAGAACTCATGGGTGGGGTGTGAGTGGATGTCTCTATTCGCTTACACCCACACCCCCACTGATAGCTTCCCAATACTCGATATTTCAACATTTTTGTATTTTTGTGAAATACAATTGAAAATGAGTGTTGAAGTATACAACGATAACACTCATATAAATTCACCAGTCAGGCTTATCTTACAGGCACATGACAGACAGAATTAGTATTTAGGAGTTTTTGATTATGAAATATATATTATGATATAAATGTTCCAATAAATAATGATTTAAACAAAAAATCATACTAGAATATATCTTGAGGCTGAAAAATCCAAAAAAGGTGCGTGCTGGCATGTCTGTCATCGTTCTTAATGGTCTAGGAAGCTTTTTGGTCAACGAATATTCGAACTCAATATGGTTGTGATAGTCATTCAGAAACTTTCTTCATCATAATTGAAGTGGCTTCATAGTGTTTGACATTTTAATTCCATGAGAATTCTACTTCAAGTTTGGAGACAAGAACCAAATCAGATTGCATCTAAACTTAGACTCAGTATAAAATCATGAATGCCCCAAAATACTTTCGTTCAAACAGCTATCCAACATATTCAAGTCAGTTGCATAGTCATTGTGTCGTTCAGGTAAACATAGGGTGAAAAATTGCAACTTCTTTACATCTTGAGCAGCAATTAGATGTCATGCATATCAAGGAATAAATGTAGCTGGCATATTTCAAGAATCTACTTTATGAGACATGGTTGAGTCGTGTATCATTCGATTGCATTCTTAATGGTCTATCAAAAAATATGTAATTCGAATTCTTTTTTTTATAAAATCACCTGAAGAAAATAGTAGTAAGCTATTCTAAACTTTAATGCAGAATTTCTGTCTTTTCTAATTTTCTTCATAGCATCGTAGCAGAATAGTAAGAATATTTTTACTGCAAACAGCAAACAAAAATTGCAAAAACAGTTGCAACTATCATGTAAAACCGCTCATACCGTCTTGAGATTTTTGCGAGTCAAAATTGGAAAAGCCACTAAACAGTAATCGTGACAAAACGACTTCTCGTACTTTCAATTAAAATGTCTTGTCGAGAGAAGGTTTAAGAGGTCCATATTTCTATCGAAAGAAATGATTGCCAGCTAGCTATTCGTCGATATCGAATGTGGGAAAATCCAATCGTTAATTTAGTAGGTACAAAAATAAAAAAAAGTATGAGAACATAAAGGACTCTCAAAAAGAGGATCAGGCACTAACAAGAGTCAAAAAGTTCAGTTCTTGTGTAGATAATCACTGGCGAGGGCTGCTAAGTTATATCAAACAACAGTTATTTCATTGCCCATAAAATAATCGTTAGTTTATAGGTCCATTGTCACCACAAGCACCGCTTCTCCAAATCCCATCGAACTTGAAAATTGAAGCTTTCAGAAAATTATATTATCAACGCAAGATACTTGCGAACCAATATCCATAGCAAGTACTTGAAAATCTTCGGGTTTTATTAAAAGTTTACTCTCGGAGCGCGAACAGTTGATTGAGAATGCAATTGACTAATTTGCACATCCTGTATGAATAAAGTTCTGAAAAACCAACAATTTTGCAGCATACTAAGAAGCACGTAGAAATGAAACATTTCTTTCTGTACTATTTGTAGTGTACTTATCAATTACATGATTCGGTTTGAAATGGAGTATGATACTAGACCGCATGATTGACAACCAAATAGGTAGTGAACTATTTTAAATATGTATACATTCAATTATTCTTCTACTTTGTTCGAAAAGTCTGATAGTTCTTGATGTTCAAGTATTATATTCCAAGTATATGACTGCGAACAGGATAGTATTCCAGTGTTTTACTCATATTAAATAAAGCTTGAGCGTATGTCATCTACTAGAATGTACATATGATTTGAATCCTTCTTATTATGAGTCTATTCAACAATCTTACTCATTTTAGATTGAATTTTGCAATTATATAAGACGATACGATACAATGAAGCACATAATTAGCACCAACAATGTTTCTCTTCAACAATATCACTAATCTCGAAACAAAGTGTGTTACTCCATCAGACCAAAAAAATCTATTGATAAATGAATTGCTATAATCTGAGTTGCTTTCAAGTATATCGCTCACTTCGAGTAAAATGTATCATTTGATCACATCAGCAAAGACATGTTGACAAATGAGTTGTTCTAATACGGGTTCTATTCAAATATAATGATAGAAAAAAAACAAAATTCACGTTGAGCTTAGACTATCGGAATACCCAAATGATGATTAGGTTGAATAAAAAGTTTCGTTCAGATATGTCACTTATTAACTAAACTACTAAACATTGCACATACTGATGAAAGACACAGTCAATGTATCAGTATGAATATAAATGCATTCTCGTATATTGCTTGTTTCCTAACGAAGTTTGTCACTCATTGACATAAGCAAGTGTCTATTGACATATGAATCGTTCTAATCAAGGTTCTATTCAATTATGTTCCTCGTTTCAAAGCAAAATGTGTCACTCGATCACATTAGCAAAGACCTGTCGAGAAAGAAATTGTTTCGTGCAGAGTTCCATTCAAGTGCGTCGTTCACTTCGAGATGAAGTATCTAACTAGACTAGTATACCCAGATTTACATGTTAAACAATTACTTCTAATGAAGCCTTTATACAAATATTATCGTTGCTTTAGAAAAAGTTCGCACAAAACTCGATCGTTCATAGCGAAATAGTAAGAGAAGAGCTCCCAATAGGATTATATTCAAGTATGTAGCTTAGTTTGAAGAGAAATGTGTCATATAATTAAATGAGAAAAAGCCTCTAGATCGATGAATCACTCCGATAAGCGTTCCATTTGTATATATATCGCTAACATCGAAACAAAATGTGTCACTTGGTCATGCCAGACAGATCTTTTGACCACATGAAACATTTTAATAACTGCTCCACTCAAGAATACCACTCAACTTGAAACCGAGTGTGTCATTCGATCAGATGAACAAAAATCTCTTGATGAATGAATCGCTCAAATAAGAGCACCATTCAAAAATATCACTAACTTCGAAACAAAGTATCACGTGATCATGCCAAATAGATCTTTCGACAAAATGAATCGTTCTGATTAGAACTTCATTCGAGAATATCATTCACTTGGAAGAAAAATGTACCATATGGTAACGCTTGAAAGATCTTTGGACAAAATGAATCGTTCTAACCAGGATTCTATTCGAGA